TTATTTTGATGCATTGTCCCTAAACCTACCGAAGAGGCTCTCTGTCCTTGTCTGGGAGGACAAGCACTTTAGACTGGGGCTGTAGTCTCATTTAAAGAAAGGAAAACAATTTCGGGACAGTTCAAAATAATGCTTGGAAATGGAAATTCAAATGATACCGTTTTAAAAACCAGAAAGATATGGTTTGAGGACAAGAAGCAGGATGTAATTCATTGCTCGACAATTTTGACTGTATTTAAAACAGAGCATCCAATATACCTGATATTTAATAATACTGTAAAATGTCCATTAAATAAAATAACTAAATAAACAAACAAATAATGGACCTCTTTAGCCAAGACTGTGGATTTTTATTGTTGAGCACTAAATGATTCTGCTCGGTCATACAGGCTAGGTGGGGGAATGCTTTCAATAGACTTAAATTTGAAAGGCCCTTTGTATCACTTCGTGCAAAATGACATAGGGCGCTTCTAATAAATTTATACGAGAAGTAAAACCCTGTTCATCATTGTTTTCGTGCTGCAAAGTTGTTTACAGACTGAAAAAGGGATAGTACGGGACTGTAGAGAGTGAATAAAACTAGGAAATTATAATTGAAAATGTAAAACAACGTTGTAAACCTAGCAATAAGAGGCTCTTGAATCTAGTTTTTAAATGGACATGGCTTTGGGGCTAGCTGTCGATTGCCAGCTAGCTGTCGATTGCCAGCGGATCCAGGAGGGGGCGGGCAAGATGGGACCCCCACCCCCTTGCGATTAATGTGGGGGGGGGTATTTTTCAAATTTTCGAGGGCCAAACAATAGTGCTCTCTACCCCCCCCCCCTTCCCCCTCTACCACTGAGTGAAATATCGGCCGGCACGATTTTTTTTTTATTTCAGCACACTAAATTTCAAATTGATTTCAAGTTTGGGCCCCCCTAAGAAATCCTGAGTCCGCGCCGGTACCCCCCCCCCCCCAAAAAAAAAAAAATCCCAAGGCTCCCCTGTAGTTTTTTTCTACATTGCTCCCCCCCCCCCCGTAAAAGGTCCCTAGTTTCTCATTGTTTTACATCAACAACAACAACAACAACAATAATATTTATTATAAAACTCCAAAATTGGTTTGTTTTTATAAATAATAATATCTGCCCGGCGAAATATTTGAATTATTTGTAAGTATGTAGATTAAGATCATCAGACTTTATTACACTGATGAGGTGTATTGGATTCTCTTCACATGTCTCTTTCTGGCTCTCTTTCTCTTTCTCTCTCTCTCTCTCTCTCTCTCTCTCATTGGGACTGAAAAAGTATTGAATGTAATAATGTTTGATAAATAGATAAAACAGAATTCCTGTCCTTCTTGTACTTCGTAAATATAATACTTTACCTTGCTTACAAGTTAATTGCAAGCTCATTGTATAGATCAATTAAGAGAATAGCAATAAATATGGACTTTGAGTGAGATCAAAATGGGTTTAACATCAGTTTTTCTTTTTCAAAGATTAAAAAAAAAGCAACAGCTGGGTGTCGAACCCGATACCTTCCAGTTACCAGGCGATTGCCTACCCACTAGACTAAAGTGTCACATTGCTAATCTCCATGTTTTTTTTTCATACTTATACTTATTGTTGTAGATGTAGCAAAAGAAAAAAACGCAACAGCTGGGGGTCGAACCCGATACCTTCCAGTTATCAGGCGATTGCCTATACCACTAGACTAAAGTGTTACATTGATAATGTCAATCTAATTTTAGATTGACAATAGATTGAAATTCTCAATCTAATAGATTCAAATCTCAATCTATTGAAGATTTAAAATTTCCAATCTAATGGTAGATTGACTTTCAATCGGGTTAGATTCGTCCCTGACAGCAATCTGTGGCAGATTGAAAATTCAATCTAATAGACTGAGTTTTCAATCTTAGGAATTAAGAGAGCAGCTCTCAATTAACATAAGAAATAGAGGATCATGGGGACCAACAGGCACCGATTGGGGAAGTTTTCTATATAGAGGGAGCAAGTAGCTACAAGTAGGACAGTGGGGGTTTAAAATCAGGTATACCAGTCGTCGATCCCTACACGGGTGAGATCAGTGAGGGCAGCAGACATCAAATCAGGTGTCAGAGGGAGAAGCCTCTCCTGGATGGGTAGTGGTAGGCTGGTAATAAACGACGACCTCGCGATGCGATAGAGATGGCGGCATCCCCCAATCATTGTGTATGACTGTCTCTTGCATTCATAAGCAACCTGGGTTCTTAACAACCTTGGTGGTTTAAAAAAGGTCGTTGTTTGTTGGGTAGACGCCACAAAGAAGTTGGGATGACGATGATGGCATGTAGTTGGAGGGGCAAGCGGGTGCTAGGTGACTTAAGCAAACACCCTTTTCGGCAGAGACTGTCATTCAAAATAATACTTCGGTCATTCAGTTTAGCGTATCGGAAATTCAAATTTATTCCGTCAAGATTCATGTGAATTCATTTGCACTTGCCGAAAGGTGATCTCGTGCATTCAAAATACGCAACTACGCATTGCAGTTATTGCTTTTAACGTATAATCTTTTCCTCTCATTTTTTTAATGATTTTAGTAATACCGGACGCGCCGTAGACTATGATGAACTTGTAAATAAATGTGTACAGTTCAATAATGTCTTCTCTTCTTTAAAAAAAAAAAAAAAAGGAGGCTAATTTGGCTGACGAAAATACAAATTTGCACATCATGAATCTATCTTCGAACAGCAAAGCCGGTCTACATTATTTAAAATTAAATGCATCCCCTAAAATGGTTCCCAATTTGAATATCAATAATATCTAAAAAGTCGCCCTGGCGTTTTGTGTTGATCTTTATATACTTGTTTATGCTGCAAATTTATTTTTTAAATCAATTTGTTCTTCATAAAAATAATTTCATTGCATATCTTTACAAAATGTCTTTGCCGTTATGGAGTGAACATGTCGAATGATGATGGTTTATCATCATAGAGTTAAGAAATATTTCGTCCTATATTTTGATTACGTCATTCTCTTCAGAACACTGATGTTAAATGGAATGAAAATAAACTGTAGGTCTATTTCTTTTCTTCTTTTTTTTTTTTTGTTGTTGGTCGAATCTATAACTGAATTATACGCGCTGTGAGGACCACTTTGCGTGGGACCATTTTGATCGCGAGTGGCAGTGGCGAGGGAGTTTGTACTGAGAAAGCATGATTGTGTGTGCGGTACGTGGATGTTTATGTGAGTGTAGGTTAGGGTTGTTAGTGCGTATTATGCTGCACTGCTAAAGCCAGGGTAATTATGCTGCATTATTGTAGAGCGCTTAGAGACTTCTGACAAAGTAAGTGTTAGGCGCTATATAAGCACTGTAATTATTTTTATTTTATTTATTTTTCATTTTCAACATTTAGGGTTAAAAGGAAACAAAGTTGTTGATCTATGGAATATTGGGAAAGCTATTTTGAGAATAGCGGAAAAAGGATAACTGGAGTTTAGTGCATAGATGTAAAAGATTATGACATTTAAATGCAGTTTAAAGGTACTGTGAAGCTCCTCAGAGATTTATTATCAAGGAAGGTTTATGAATATTTCATAGAGAAGCTACAAAATTTATTTGTTTTGAAGATTCATGATGGACGGGGATTTTCAGATTTTTCAATTGAGGTATATAGGGAGATATTTAGTAGGCCTAGGAAAGTTACTCTTGTTAACAGACTAAGAGAAATTCAGTATAAACTGCTTCATGGAGCAATATTTGTTGAAGATAACTTGTGCTCATTTTGTAAGCAAAAGATTGAAACATATTTACACTTGTTCTGGGAGTTTGTACAGGTTCACAGGTTATTGCAGTATGTAAGTTTGAGCTAATGGAATTAAGGTATGTCGATTGGGTAAATATTCATTTAGAGTTGTCCGGTAATTCCCCACGAATAAAGATATTTAATACAATTATTTTTGCAATGAAATATTGGATATATAGATGCAGAGGAAAGTCCGTAATATTGTCTTTGGGTGAGTTTAAAAAACAAAACTGTTGGAATTAAGGGAAGAAGAAAAGAATATTGCAGGGAGGGCAGGTAAATTAACCTTACATTTACTGAAGTGGGAACAAGTGAAGTATTTATGAACTTTTAACACTGGGCTATTGTAGCCTCGTTTAAACGATTTTTTAAAATTGTTTTTTATTTTGATAAATAAGAATATATCTATTTTTCGGCCGCTCCAATTTTGTGTATTCTAAGGAGGCTAGGAACAGTGTGTGGTATATGTACGTGAGAAAGTGTGGTCGGGTGGTCGTGGTGTGTGTGTGTGTGTGTGTGTGTGTGTGTGCGTGTGTGTCGCATAGTGGGGGTGGGGGTGGTATTAGTGTGTTTAGTTGGATGGGGTTATTTGTTTTATGTTACAACTGATTTCATTTTTTTTTCATCAATCGTACAATTTATGTAATGAATATGTTTTGTATTCATGTCAAGATGAAAAACAACTGTATTTTATTTCCAAGACTGATATGATTTGTTTGGAATCAATAAAAAAATATATATATATTGAAAACAAAAAGTGTGCGCGGTGAGTAGGTGTGTATGTGAGTGTAGTTGGGCATTGCAAGAAGGTTATGATTGATTGCAAGTTCCAAAATTTCCAACTAATATTTGCAATCGATTGCAACTTAACTTTCTTGCAACGCCCCACTATCTCCTAAATTTCCTAGGATTTTGTTTTGTTGATAAAGTTTTAACAATTAAACTAAGTTCACTAGATCTACCTTTTATTCTCCCCCTCTCTCTCTCTCTCTCTTTCTCTCTCTCTCTCTCTCTCTATCTCTTTCGTGCTCTCCCTCTCTCTCTCTCTCTTTCTTACTGAATGGGGCGTTGCAAAAATGTTGAGTTGCGATCAATTGCAAATTTGCAATAAATCGCAAGACTTTAGGCCTACGCTTGATTTGGGGGATTTGCAATTGATCGAGGGGTGTGTATTATTGATGTAAGACCATATAAACACAAGTTTCTCGTATTATAGCTCAATTCATTATAATTGAAATGTGATATTTGTTTCCTTCTTTTAATCATCTTCTAACAAAGCATGACAAATATACATACACTGTTTAATAGGTTAATTTTTCATGGTATAAGAGTATATACCGATACATAAAATATAACACATTATATCCAATAATGTTTGTAAAATAAAATGCAACAATATTTTAAATATGGTAAGCATGACAAATACATATACTGTATAGTAGGTTAATTTGTCATGGTATAAGAGACATTATAATATATAATCATACTGATATGTAAAATATAACGCATTATATCCAATAATATTTATGAAATAAAATGCGACATTATTATAAATATAGTAAACACAATTCACATGACAATTTAAACATGCAGGCATTATAAACTCTCAAATATGATCCATATTAATTCCATAAACTTCAATTTCACCGTTGTGAATAATAGACTTTGTTATATATACGTATACTCGGCCGAAATATTGAATTTCTCTTTTGGTATTATTCGAATATTGAGTCCTTCGAAAGAAAAGAACATTTTATTTTCTCTTCTTATTTGAAGAAATTCTCATCCCAAATCTGATCTATTGAGTTATTTTGTTTAGCTCAGAGAATTAAATAACTTTTGGACTTAATCCATCGACTTTACTTCACTTTCTAAGTGTTCTTTAACTGACTTTAAAAAAAAATTGTAGTCATATCCTTAATGATAATGCAGTATCTTGACCAACCACATTTGATTCTTTTATACATCATTTCTGGCAGTTTATATGCACTAGTAACAATTCTTATTACCAATTTGAATTCAAATTTTAAGTATATTTACAGCACTCTTGTTTGGACACTCATGATTATTCGGCAGTACTATTCTATCGTTATTTGTTTTAATATTTATCTTGATTATTTCTTGTTTGTTTTAAATATATGTCATTTGACGTACCATTGTCATTTTTATGTTAATTCTATGTATTTACATTGTTTCACACGGCCCCAATGGAAATCAGTCTTGTAACTGTTTGTTCTTTTTTTTTTAACCGTGTATAAATAAAGATATCAATTCAATTCAATATCAATTCAGAACTTTTAATGCATTGACATTGACCTGTCAGCTGGCATTAACCCAATCGGACTTCCGACGATTGATATCCTTCCTGTTCACCTTGCTCTGAAGGAAACTGATAAATAAATAACTGTCCATGTTTTATCTTTGAATTCCGTTGCTCTGGTGACCGTTGACTTTCGAAGCCGTGGAGTTGTTACTTTTTTCTTTTTTGTCTAAATTCATTTTCACCTTTCGCATCCGGGTATCAAAGCTGTCCCACTTAAAGTAGCCTGTCTCGAGATGGACTGTAGAGGGCTTCGTGTCATGATAATCCTTTCTTCCATGGAGAAGTCTGTGATTATGTATTAGCATCATGTCACCTAAGGATTTTTTAAAAAGGCGAACGAAAATTAATGTTTTCATCAATTATGTTATTATTCCCCCACTATTGAAGTTTGAAGTTTGAAATTTATTTATTCCACATTTTACATCGATAAACAGTTTAATTTTTTATATTTTTATACAAGCGTATAGATCTCACACACAAACAAAAATGAAGATTTCAAATTAAGTATAATTTACGGAAAATAAGTAGGCCTACGACGTTTCGAAATGTATAGAAATGACAGGCAAGTTTTACAAAAAAATGTAGAATGTGGGGAGCCTAAATAAAAAGCACTATAACGCAACGAATGACATTTGCTGGCCTACATATACTCGTTACATACTATCAAGAACATCCACAATATTAGCAACAAAGTCAGAGAATAAAGCTGTAATATTGGTCGAATTTCATATTTCACCACTCACTTCACGTACAGAGGCAATGCTTAAGGACAGTTACCCAATGCATATGTATTTTGAGCTGAAAGGTTTACACAGACTTAATGACGGTTTACAACTATAGACTTGATATGTAATTTCTATTTTATATCTCTGTTTGTTGGTGTGTAAAAATAGGAACAAATCAAGTTGAACCTTTGCTTGAACTCTATGTACGTCGGAAATTTATGTTCGATTTTTCATGAATCTTTCCTCTTTCATCATTTTTGTATATATTCATAGCCACAAAGTCAAATTCATATGGTTTTCTTTTTTTTTAATGCGTTTAATTCTTTATAATGAAATTTAGCGATGCCAATTTACCTGGCTGTAGATTATGGCAGAAGGTGTGGTCCTTGCGATATAAAAGGTCCTTTAGCGCCCTCAACGCCCGGTAGGTATCACACACCTCGCCCACCGGAAGTCTCATGACGGACGTCCTCCAGAAGTCACAGAGAGTGAGCTTGGTAACTTCACCGGCTTCATTGAGTCTGGAGGGAGAGAGAGAGAGAGAGAAATAAAGCAATGGAAGAATATTCATTCAAAGCCTATCTGCACTAGTTTGGCCAGGAGGGATTAGACCTCCCTGCATGGCCACTGGCAGGTGGTTATCTCATCAAATAAACTCTCAATTAACATAAGAAAAAGGGGATCATGGGGGACTAATGGGTACCGCTTAGGTATTGTTTGCTACTATAGAGGGCCCAAGTAGCTACAAGTAGTGCTTTTCCGATTTAAAAAAATTGGTTTGGGAAAGATCGAATTGGTTATTTCCATTTGGTTCAACATGCTGGGATATTCTGATCAATTAATTGGCGAATCCAGGGCCGCCACAAATCAGGCCGTGCACGAAGTTTAGACTTAAAAAAATAAATATCCTGACATCGCAATTAGGAGGCCTTTGGGCAATCATTTGTTTAGATCTTGGATGGAAAAAATATATAAAGGACAATTTAAAAGTCTTTAACCATGTTCAGGATACCAATATTCTTGGTACCGTATGAAACACAAGTCCAGATATTGGAACTGTAAATCCTGTACTATAATACAATAGATATTTGTGGATTGGAGAGAAAGAAACATAGACAGAAAGAAGAAAGAGAGAGAGAGAGAAGGGTGTGTGTATATTGAAAACCTTAAGGGGAATGTGCGGGAAAGAATCGCGGGAAAGAATCGAGGGAAAGAAAGAATTAAGAATGAGAGAGCGAGAGGGGGATCGACAAACAAGATTTGTTGAGTGAATCAGAATCATGCTCGTTAAATCAATGATCATGCTAGTTAAATCCATGATCAAAGCTATAGATCGAAAGGTCATCATATACGATGACTAACTTACTTAATTGGTGCGCTGACGCTGTGGTGGTAATGCTTGTCATTGACGACCCAGGCTTTGACCCGTCCCTCCCAGCAGGGTTTGGTAAGACGCTGGAAGGCTTCCGGGTTGGTCTTCTGGAGGTCTTGGGCAGCCTTGTAGCCATCTACAAAGAAATATTCACCGCCCTTACCGTCGATCTGACTGATGCAATGCATGGCGAAGACCTACAAGATCCAAACATCGAGAATTGGTGCTAGTTATGAACACGTGTTATGAAAATGACTTGTATGGGTTTTATAGGACATCCACCCCCGGATAACCACCCCCAGTCAACTAACCCCTAGAACAACTACCCCTGACAACTAACCCCTACGACAACCATCCACTAGGACAACTACCCCCCAAACACATATCCTAGGGGGTAGTTGTCCTAGGGTAGTTGTCCAGGGTAGCTGTCCTAAGAGGTAGTTATCCGTGGGTAGTTGTCCGGGGGTAGTTATCCTAAGGGTAGTTGTCCTAGGGGGCATTTGTCAGGGGGTAATTGTCCCGGGGGGTAGTCGTCCTAGAGGGTGGTTGCCCTAGGGGGTGGTTGTCCAGGGCAGTTGTCCTAAGAGGTAGTTATCCGGGGGTAGTTGTCCGGGGGTAGTTATCCTAAGGGTAGTTGTCCTAGGGGGCATTTGTCTGGGGGTAGTTGTCCCGGGGGGTAGTCGTCCTCGAGGGTGGTTGCCCTAGGGGGTAGTTGTCCTAGGGGGTAGTGGACTGGGCGTGGTTATCCGGGGAGTGGATGTCCAGGGGGAGGTGCCTAGAACCGCGCTTGTGACATACAAGTTTCAACGCGCTGTACACAAATCAAGATTACTACACAAAATTAACATTACTAATGGAATTAACATTACTTAAATTATCAAGAAAATCAAATATTATTAACATTACTAAAGAAATTAACATAACATGTAAATTCCTGGGAAAGTTAACATACTATATTAACATTAGCAGCAATTAAAACAAGATATAATGTAATGGAAAAGCGGTAGCTGAGAAACTGGTTTTATTATCATTAATATCAATATTAATATTATCATACTATCTTTATCATTATTACATGTATCATTATCATCATTATTGTTATTATTATTATTATTATTATTACTATCTTAGTTTTTATTACATGTATCATCGTTATCATCATTATTATTGTTATTACTTTTATTATTATTATTACTATCTTAATTACTATTGCATGTATCATTATCATCATTATTATTATTATTACTATTATTATTATTATTATTATTATTATTATTATAATTACCCCATGTGAATCATCAATGAAAGAATAGTCTGAGTGCAGAGGTCGGTACTCTAGGCCGTACGATGGGTGACCAAAGGCCCAATCGCTACTTCCGTAGATTTGTGAAGTCGTTCTAGACATCATGTACAAATTCAAAGTCAATATTAAAGTAACAATTATCTTCTTCTCATCCTTTTTTCCATATCAACATACTACTATAAAGAAGGAAATTTGTACATACACAATATCATTAGCAAGATCTGGGGGTTGTTTCACAACTTAACTTTAAGTTGAACTTAAACATTATGGAGAGCCATTTGTAGCCTTAAAATAAATTATATTCAAACGCATAAATCCAAGTATTTTAGACTTTTATAAATTCCACATCAAGAACATAAAATCTCCTAGATGATAGAAAATATGAATTATTTGAATCAACGTTTTATGCCTTTTAAAATAACTTTCACAAAATATTTTCAAAGATGCAAACGGCTTTCCATAACTTTTAAGTCCAGCTTAGAGATAAGTTCGACTTAGGATCTTTGTGAAACACCCCCTGGAGCATTACCATTTTTTAAAGAGAGAAGGCATAAATCCTAGAATCCTAAAGTATAGAATTGAGTCGGATTTTTCGATCTATCGAACAATACATTATAGATGTAGGACCTAATTAAGAAAGAGAATATTCAAAGATAGGGAAAGAAGAGGAAATGAGGAGAAAATGAATAGATTAAAGAGGGTGAAAAAGTACTGTAACATATTACCTGAATGCTAATGTATATGTACAACTAAGATGTGTAACAGTTACTGCATAATATGACAATGAAGTGTCAAGATTTGAGCGCAACGAACATCGTATTATAGGATGATACTGGAAACAATCAAGCAAATATGATTTTAAAATAATAATAAAAGAGGGAGAAGGTGAGAAATGAACTATATTTTTTCCAGTAGTTGCAACAAGTATTATAGTTGGATGAATGTTGAGCGGTTTACTAATTAGGCCTATTAGGCCATTTCCGTAATGTATAATTTAATGCACAAATCTTGGATAAATACCCCTCTACAAATTATTTCATTCACTTGCTACGAATACTTTCATTTAAATAGTCATCATGCAAATTGCATACATTAAGTGTTATTAGGTAGACCAATCTATACTGTTTGACCGACCTATAAAGCAACAACAATTGATGTATGTAATTCGCATTCTCTCTATTAAAATACAATTATCCATAACAGGTTAACACAATTATTTGTAACGAGGCACTTAACTAAGTTTTACCATTAAATTTGATTACATTACTAAAATGGTCTAAAGTATGTTGGCTTATTATTATCCTCTGCATGGATGTTTGTTGCGTAAAAGCTAAATGGACATTTTTTTTTTATCGACGGACAGTTCATGGCGTTTGTGTCATTTATGTAGAGAGCCGAAGAATCCCCCCAAGGGCACACTGTCTTATTTTATAAACAAATTATACTGGTTTAGCTTAACTTATATATTTTTTTACTGTCATAATGATACACCAAAAGGCTAATCCAACTACCTTATTTTTTCTCAAAACCATTCATTTGTTAATTGGTGCTTTAAAAAATACTGATGAGGATAATTTGGCATATATACATATATATACCAACAACGGCATGAGGGTTGAGCTAGAGGATGCGGAGAGAGAGAGTGGGCGAACTTGAAAAAGAGATAACAATGAAATTACCCCCAGCGAGTTTTTACTTTATAAGGTCATTTAATATTGCCTTAAAGGTACTATGTCCCGTTTGCAGCAAACATCATATTCTGTCGAACTTTGCAGGAATTCTGAATATGTCATGTATGTCCTATCTGTGAAATTTAAACTTTAGCAGTGTCCTAATATTCAAATTATGCAAGGAAACCCATTTACTTGCTAAACTTCACTGTCAGACACTATTGAGTGACTGACCGGTTTTTTCTTCTTTGGTAATAACATACATAAAATGAGCTGTAAAGGGTACATGAGCATTTGTCTACATCAATAACCCACTTCTTGTAATGGCCCAAATTAAACTGATTGAATCTTTGCGCAGCATAAAACGTACGACCATTCGGTACAAAGGTCTAAAATCAGACTACTACTTCATGGCTCTATAGCTCTTAAGTCGATTCGACAGCTAATAGTTGTTATTTTCCCCACTTAAAGACATTTTTAAGCCCCCTTTTTCTTAGGGAAGTTCTAAATTAGTATTCTCTTTCAAATGCCATTGGAATTTAAACTTTTCTTTTTTTGGGCCTGCAATGGGACATAGTACCTTTAACATCATATCTTGAAAGAGTTAAACTGGATTAAATACTTGAGTTTTGTTTTATAAGGCTTCAAATGAAATGGCTCTAAACAAGAATTATCTCGGTATGTGCTGTTCGTTTTCATTTTTGCAAAATGTTAAAGAATCAATGTATTTCCTTACCCGTATGACGTACCACAGATGTAGCCAATCCTATCGCTTAGCTTCATCATGTGACCCTTCTCAGCAGGTGTGCCTTGTATTAAGACCAGGCCCACTCTCTTCAGCTGCATTTGCATGTCGTACAACACGTGATCTGAATCGATGACGTCTGATTGGTCGAAAAATGTATATATGAAATTATTCACGAAAGCAGTAGCCTACTAACTGATAAAAATGATAAATGATGTTCCACTTAACACACTATTTATCCTTTATCAAACTCATGCTCAATTAATATCTAACTTTGTATTTCTAATTAATCTCAAGAACGATGAGAGTAAATAACAAAAACATCTAGTTTATATACACAAGTGAATTAAGATTACATGTATAAATTGCACTAATTGTTCACAGTACGAAATAATTTGTCCGGTACTTAACACAGTGGCGTATCTAATGGGGGAGGGGGGCATGTGCCCCAGGTGGCACTTAAAAGGGGCGCACCAACAAAAAGAGAGAAAGAGAAAGGGAGAAGGGGAAGACATGTCTTTTTATTTCTTCAGTAATTGATCCTTGTGATGCAGCGCCCTGTCAGAATGGAGGAACATGTACTTCTGCTGATGGTGCCCCTGGCGCCGAAATACCTACATACATGTACGTCAATATAGCGTCTGGGGTTTTTCACAAAGATACTAAGTCGAACTTAACTCTAAGTTGGACTTAAAAATTATTGAGTGCCATTTGTAGCCTTAAAATTAATTATTTCCAAAAACATAAATTCCACATCAAGAACATGAAATATCCTTGATAATAGAAAATATGAATGATTTGAATCTACATTTTATGCCTTTTGAAATAACTTTTACAAAATATTTTCAATGATGTTAACGGCTTTCCATAAGTTTTAAGTCCAACTTAGAGATAAGTTCAACTTAGGATCTTTGTGAAACACCACCTGGTTGTATAACATGGTTATATTGATATGAAGGCAAATTATAGGTCTACTGCTAATGCTGATTAGCCCTGTTTTCATATCATTTATGAATCTATTGGACATACAAATTTCCTGATACAGTTTATAAGCTCTTATTTTCCGACATTATACTGATAGACATAAACATGAGGGTATTAATGTGTCCGATCAACTTTTGGGAAATTTAGAAAAAGTCACTCAAAAATTGGCAGGACACCTACGTGTCCCCACTTTTGACAATGCTTTAAAGCTCGTTTGTACTACTTTGGCCAGGGGGGATTAGACCTCCCCCTGCAAGGTCATTGACAGGTGGTTATTTCATCGAATCAAGTCTCAGTTAATATAAGAAATAGGGGATCATGGGGGACCAACAGGCATCGATAAGGCATTGTTTGCTATATAGAGGGCGCAAGTAGCTATAAGTAGCGCCGTGGGGCTTTAAACATCATCTTACAGTGTATCATGTTTTACCTGAATATTTGAAGGTGCGCATGTGGTCATTCTCCAACGTACTCGCATCCCAGTATGCAGGTTCAATGCTCCGGATGGGATCTGCTTCTGTTTGGTCGAAGCGGTTGCATAGCAACCAGTTGGCATAATACAGACTTTGGTGATCGTCTGTCCATGTGATGGCGATCGTCTGGTCGACGTCATTCACCGTCACCGTTTTGATGTCGATATTGAGATCAAGTTCCTTGAATAAGATGATGATAAACGACTTATATTAATGATTATTTTAATAAAAATATGCATTTCTATAGCGCCGTCTATCTAGAAATGTCATTCCGAGGAGCATTTATTGTTACCCCGGCTTTAGCTTAGCTGCAATTACAGCGCTCCAGCATGTCAAGGAATTAATTCGTGCTAGGTACCCATTTACCTCACCTGGGTTGAGTGTGGCAAATTAAGATTAATGCCTTGCCAAAGTGCCGTGTAGGGGATCGAACCACGACCTTTGAATTTCAAGCCAAGTGCTTAACCCACTAGACTACGATACTTCTTATATACACCATCAAACATGTTGCCCGCAAAGTTGGAATAATTCTCTTACCTCTTTCCATGGATGGATTGTGAGTTTGTGACAATATGATTTAAGAATATTGATGGCTTCTGATATAGCGCTCATATCAGTCAAGCAGGGACGCTCATGGCACTTATTATCTTGTTTATAGCTGATCCGCCAAAGTAACTAGCGCTCAAGCATTATTTTTTGCACCTGGATAGAGTGGCAACATTTAGATTAACGTCTTGGAAAATGATGTTAGTGCTGTGCTGGGATTCGAACCACGTACCTTGTGATCTACAGTCCGGTAACTTATCCACAAGACCACCACCCCATCTTGATTTATTCTTGATAGATAAATTGTACGCCTTCTCAGAACGTTATTGACCAATCTGAAGAGTCACAGAGGTTGATCGATAAAGCTCTGAGAAAATATACTTTACCTGTCGAGAATAAACCATATTTTTGCAATCATTTCATGAAATGGGGTAAGGAAATTTAATCCCGACTTTATGGACGACAACGTTCTGAATGTACTTTGGCAGGTCGAGTATTAAATACTGAGGATTATAAAATAATTGCTAACACTTTATTCAAGTAAGGCCTGATTAAACATAATAAAAGGAATCAGAAATGGAAGCAGACGTTATAGAATAGGTCTGAGACTTGGCTTGACAGTATCAGGCTGGGACTCAATGCACAACTGCATACTTTTGTAAATGTTGTACTGCTGTCAATTCCAGTCCAATCGGGACTGAGCTTCAATGACCCAGAACAATACAAATGGCCAGAGAATAGATTTCAACGAGAAGAAGTTATAGACCGAGTTCTAAGTTTTCCTTTTGGTAACCTAGACATAGCTATGGTACATTGCTCAGGTATAATTGTCACCAATGTAGTATCTTACAGTATGTAGTCTCAACCAAGTCGTATAAATAGTGAGGACAAACACAGCGCAATAAATTGTTTTTGTCTCTTTTCCCCCTTTTTTCCATGAGAAAATAGAACAAAATGATCCAGCTTTTTAGGAAATACCACAAAAATATAAAAAATAGCCTCCAAATATATTATCACATTTAGATAACGGCTAGGGTAATTACGGTGTTTCCTGATGATGATAACCGTTAAAGGGATAGTTGAGTTCTGTTTTCAGACCGCAAATCCCTATAAAGTGCATGGTTATTGCTCTTATTCTTATCTATGACAAAATAGTGCCCTTTTAGTAAGTTTAGACCCCAAAATGTGTGAAATTTAGCAATTACGATCATACCAATTCAGCTCCACTTAAAAAAAAAAAACACGGTGACCGTTAATTAATTATTTAATTAAACATAACAATACATGAGCCGGCTAATTGTGGGTAATATAAGCAGCACGAAAATGCCAACAAAACAGCCAACATCGGCATCGGCTGAAATATGATTTAAAAGGCGTTATTTCGTTTTTTCAACGGTTTCTTTCAAATTTTTCAAAATATCTAATATTTGTGGTGGTACACAAGTATTATATTATATTTCAGCCGTCATTGAACCGATTTGATTAAGCAAAGATGATTTTGTCGTTTAAATATTATGTTCTTTCCAATTTGACACTCAGTTTTTCATTATCTCACAAAAATACTTTGTGTAGCGCCCTCTGCAACAGAACTCAACTATCCCTTTAACTTGTTAGGGTTTTGTCCGACGGATATGTAACTGGAGGGCCAAAGTTAAAAAAAAGCGGGATTTGCCTGCCACCATCACACAAACTGAGCACACCTTGTTCATTCGGAAGATTTTATCGTAATACACAATATTTCAGAGGTAGTTTTGTATATGTAGCGAACACCCCTAAATCGGAGGGACCGTCCAAAAGAGAGGACCTTTTGACAAATAATAATAATAATATCTATTTTTTATTTAGCGCTTAATACCATGAAAGTGGTGTCATATAAAAGGCAATTAAATCTACGTTTTGACACCAATTTCAACGGACTTGGGATTAATTAACATCGACATTTTAAGTAAAAAATACATAATTTTGTGAATTGTTTCGAAAAATTGAGTTTTATCAAAAGAAGTTAATTTCCATATATCAATATCGGAGAGATGACCTTTCATTATTTACACAATTTTCTTGCTGTCTGCTACCTCGAGATCACTGGAGCGAAGAAAGGTAATTATCCCTGTTCAGTGAAGAATTAATCCTTTTTATGCATACGGATTCTCCTACTATTCTTGACCAGAAGTGCGTTTCAAACTGAATAATATGGGCCACTGAATGAGGTTGAATGCCCATTATGAGGGCTTTTCTGTACCCTTTAAAGACTGTCAATACTACTGGGCCAGAAGGGATTAGACCACACAGCGAGGTCACTGACAGGTGGCTATCACATTAACTCAGCTCTCAATTAACATAAGTAAAAGAGGATCATGGGGGACCAACAGGCACCGATTGGGGAAGTTTTCTATATAGAGGGAGCAAGTAGCTACAAGTAGGACAATGGGGCTTAAAAAGAGCACACAATAGGGGCAGTGCAATTTCAATAGGCCATTTTCGTAATGTAACCAAATTTAATGCATACGTCTTTGAGAAGTGCCTCAATACAAATTATTTCATTCACCTGATAAGAATAATAGTATTTCAATGGACAGAATTCGAACTGCATACATCAGTTGTTGCCAGGTAGGACAAACATTACGGCTTGACCTACCTAGCAACACTTAATATATGCAGTTTGCATTCTGACTATTGAAATACTATTATTCTTATCAGGTGAATGAAATAATTTGTATTGAGGCACTTCACAAAGACTTATGGATTAAATTTGGTAACATTACGAAAATGGCCTATTCAAGAGATGGATTAGAGTTTTTATCGCTCACGACGGCTATCTAGAATGTTCCGAATTGCCACCCCCCCCCCCCTCCCCCACACTCAGTGTTAATTAGGGTACGCATATGCGTGTTCCCAGCACCCCCCCCCCTTTCAGCATAAATCCGTTGTGTAAAGTCAATACGGGTAGACCTTTTTCTTTTGTTACGAGCCGGAGATTTTGGGAACTGGAATGTGCGTACCTCCATTCTCGGAGTGGGGGGGGGGGGGGGGGGGGGGGCAAAACTGCTCAGCAACCATCGACAGGGACTCTGCCAAGCCCCCTATGTAATTCACAAAATACTATTTTTCGTCAAATTAAGGGCTCTTTTTTGGAACGCCCCCTCCGATTTAGGGGTGTTCGCTACAAGTAAAATAAAATACCACCTCTGAAATATTGTGTATTATGATACAATCTTTCGAATGAACAAGATGTGCTTAGTTTGTGTGGTATATACGTAGTACGTGGCAGGCAACTCAAAAACTAAGCGTGATAACTGTCATTGGCCCTCCACTTAATAGCAGCAACTACTGATTGTAAGCTGATTGAAAATATAACTCGCATCAGGTGAATGTCAGTGGTCCGTCATATAGGGGGGGGGGGGAGGGGTAAGACGTACAGTCAAACCTGCTTTACTGACCACCTGTCTACAAAGAAGACTTTTTTGTTTTCCCTTGAAAATGGTTTCTTATTGAAACATGAATGTTGGCACCTGTACACAAAGACCACCTGCCTATCCACTTTTCTTGTCTCTCTCCGGTGGTCTTTATAGACAGGTTTCACTGTACCTACATTTTAAACCGAGTAGTGTAGTGGGTAACTTTAAATACGGCCTATTATTTGGGAGACTGCTCTACAATTTCTCCGACTAAAATTGATTTTTTTTTTTTTTTTTTTAATGAAGGAGAGACATGACAAGGAGTTTGTTGAAATCATGTTCTTGTCACAATCTTTGATGAAAGTTCTATAAACTTACCATGAAATCTGTAAGTCGGGTTTGGTGCTCGGCGTGAAAGCAAATAGTACAACGGCAGTGGTCCCTGAGCCACATGCAGGGATACACCTGCCTCTCCCCTGACGCCCATTCTACCTCTAGAACCCGATCGCCCCCTTCTGACTTGGCAGCGACTCCCTTGATGGGATTCGAAGCGCGAACCTCGTCAATGCTGGGCCACTTAGCATGCAAGACAGCCTCGTCTTCGAAAGCCATCGGCTCAATCTTCACAGGGTTTTCCATGGTGTCTCGACGTACGGCAGGAAAACTCTAGCCCAACAATGTCAACTGGCAAAGCTAGGGTATAATACACAGTTAGTCGTGAGAATAAAAAGAAATCAGGTTCTGTCGACCGTCACCCGCTGCACTGGTTATGTCATGATTCGGTGCGTCCGATTTTATATGCCAGTCGGGTCTATATTTGCTATAGAGCTATAGCAGGACAACCCGGACAGTGCATCGAATACGTACGCAAACAATGATGATCTAAGGTTATATAATCAAGGTTGTGAAACAATGCCCTGGCGGCAATTAATTGCTCAGTTGTCAGTTACCTGTTAACATAATTCATAATTAACCCCATCCCTAGCTGGACAGAGCCCTAAAATATAACGCTAAACCAACTTCAACCTTAACCCCAACCCTGACCCTGTACCGTTTACGTTTACGTTCACGAAATTAAAGCTTGGAGCTGTAGCCGCAGCATAATGCCGCTGAACCAGCTAGGACATACCGTGTGAGTCAAAAAAGAAGTTTACACCTACAAATTTGCTAATTATTTAAAAAAATCATCTATGAACAGTGAATCATTATACTTCTTATGAAAGAGTATTTTATTCCAAATCATTTGGTATCATTTTTGTGTGGCATTTGATCACGCTTGGATGAACAGGAGGCATTGTTTGCGAGAGTGCACAAATCGAATTGCGCCAAAGTGATGCCTATTGCATGTAATATGTGGGGATTAGCGGAGTGAGAGAATGAATTTAATGTATCAAATGAAATGCATTACATATTATTTTGTACAGAAGCAAAGTCACACACGCACACAAATGTTCTTTGATATTCGATATTTGATATGTGTGGCATGATTAATTTTGTAAGGGATGTTATTTGGATCTGCAAAAACCGATTTAATACCCGAATCCCAATTGTTTTATTTAAACATCACATAAGCAACTTTGGCGCAAGTCGATTTTTGCACTCTCGCAAACAATGCCTCATGTTCATCCAAGCGTGAACACATACCACACAAAAATGATACCAAATGATTTGGGATAAAACACTCTTTCATAAGATGTATAATAATGTACGTTCATAAATGATTTTGAAAATAATTAGCAATTTTCTACGTGTAAACTTTTTTTTGACTCACACGGTATAGCTTACTAATTAATTCCAAACTTCAGCTCTGGACCAATTCAAAATTTATAGAGTGGTGAAGAGTAACGTCATAAAAAAAACTATTTTTAGAGATTCCAAATTTAAACTTCATTTTCCGAAAGAGCAAAACAAATAATGTCCAAATATTGAAAACCATGCAGTTGAATATGTTAAGCATAAATGAATTTCAATAGGAAATCTATTTATTCGGATGGTCATATCTCATCTTACTTAAAACTTAACATATTCAATTGGTTTTTCGACGTTTGGACATTATTTTTGATGCTCTTTCATAAAATGAATGTCAAATCGAGAAATTCTCAAAATAGATTTGCACGATGTCACAGCTTCGGTACTATACCGAACCCAAACCCGAAGCCTAAACTAAAACATAATGGCAACCACTGCATTTATACATAATATATCTTTGATGAATTAAACCCTGGAGCTTTTTTTTTTTCGGGTAGCATATGTTGTTGTCCCGGCTTGGACACGGTCTACTTACCTCGACAATATAAAAGCCTATGTAGGGGGTATATGTCTATATCTTTGCAACAACAAAAAAGGTATGAACAATTCGTGGCACCCATGCGGACGTTGGCAAATCATATACCCCGGCTTATTTATCTTGACCAATATTTACCTCGCAAATATAGTGACGTTATCTATTTCTGTTGAATTAAACTTAATCCATTGTGTGAGGAACCGGCTAGATCCAGTATTGAGCCTGCGATATGAATGAGGGACTTGAGCTGTAGATGGGTTATGGCTTAAGTGGCCCGGTCAAATTATTTGAAAATTGTTCTCTTTTTTTAAAAATTCTCTCTGTCTTTTTCTCTTTCTCTTTCACTCTCCTCTCTTTTCCTGGATATAATGTACAGATATCAGTGAACCATAAAGTCGTTTATTTCGAAGCGGAATTTGTATTCAAATCGTCTGCTTCAAAGGGTTTCAATTCAATTGTAGGCATATCGTGCCATTCAGCCAACTGAAAGGGGGTCAAATGCCCTGGACAGAATAAACAGTGACCATAAACAGAATAAACACTCGAGACGAAGAGGATCGAGTGGGCATAATCAATTGAGAAAGACGTTTAATACTTGGCTAACGTCCAAAATGTTGTTGGTTAATAAAAGAACGTTTGGATTAAGGCATGAAACTTTCCTATTTTACCGTGACATCTTTTTGCTCTTCTTAAACCGACTTTCGGATAAATACATATTCACTCAGCAAAAAAAAGAAGAAGAAAGTAGACACTTAGCTATAGTTCAGAATGTTAATATAAACATCAATTAAAAAAAAAAACAATAGGGCCTTCTCTACCAACATCAAATGTCATTTTCATAATGTAATCAAATGTAATGTACAAATCTTGTTTAAGTGCCTCGTTACAAATTATGTCATTCACCTGTTACGAATACATGTATTTCAATATCAGTCAAAATTCGAATTGCATACATTAATTGTTGCTATTATAGACAGGGGCGGCCGATCCCCTCACCCCACTCACTTTGCTGACGAGGTACGACACCATAAATAATAATGGATCCAAATGGTCAAGCAAAGGTATGGAAGTACTTGAATTCTAGAACACTTTTTTTTTTTTTTTTTTTTTACTTAAGTCTCATCTCACTATGATTGTTATTTATTTAAAGAAGTTAAAGTCTTATGGGGCGTTGCAAGAAAGTTGCAATCAATTGCAAATCCCCCAAATCAAGCGTACGTCTTGCGATTAATTGCAAATTTGCAATTGATCGCAACCAACTTTCTTGCAACGCCCCATTATTAAGATAGAGAGAGAGAGAGAGAGAGAGAGGGGGGGGGGGGGGGGTAAAAGCTATACTTAGTCAAATTGATTGTTAAAACTCTAATCCTAACAAAATCTTAGGAAACTTAGGAGACTAGTGGGGCGTTGCAAGACAGTTGAGTTGCAATAATTGATTGCAAATATCGGTTGCAAATGTTGCAACTTGCAATCAATCGCAGCTTTCTTGCAACGCCAATAAGTGTTAATATAGTTTGCTGGTATGCATAGTTTAAATTGGCCTACTTAGTGACCAGGTTCAGGGCTAACAATCCTTGCCCTTGATTCTTTTTGTATCACACAAAGGGGATTGATATGACATTTGTAAATGTAGGTTAATTTTAGTTGGGTAATGACATTTTGCTGACTAAAGATATTTATTGAGTTGAACCTTGACCGTGACAGGCATTTGCTGCAAATATCTTTGAAAGATAAAAAAAAACAATATAGCAAACTTTGATAAAGTTTGAGTACAATAAGGAAAAACGAAAGAAGAACATTATTGAAACGAAGAGGAAGAAGATCAACAGCAACAACAATAACAACAACAATAACAAGAATGAAGAAAAAGCAAGTATAAGAAGAAGGAACAAAAAGGGGGAGAAAGGAGAAGGGGAGGAGAAGAACAAGAACAAGGACAAGATTATGATGACGATGACGAAGACAAGAGAGGAGGAGGAGAAGAAGAAGCGCGCTAGATACAGTGAGAGAAATAAAGAATTCAAATGTAGTTCCTTTTGGTTCTATTTTTTTCACACGGTTGAGGATAGTATTGAGTTATGGGGTGCCGAGATCGAGATCATGGCTATAATTAATTCTTGATCGTTTATCCTAGCTAGACCTGCAGCAGATTGATCGTTTGAACCAGTAAAATAAAAAATAAAAACCTGCTAAAAAACATGTGATTAAAAAGCACATGGTGTCGGGCCTACTAACCCGGATTTCATTATGTTTATAAGCTCATGACACAGCCCCTATACATTTTTTACCAAAATCATTTCGCACGTGTCATTTATTTGTAATCAAGAACATTCGGTGTACGTTTTATTTGATTTAGTAAGAACATGTTTGCTATCATTACCAGAACTCAAGCTTATCTTTAATTAAAAGAAGTATTAAATATAGTATGCTGGTATGCCTCGTACTATATTTGGTTATCAGGTTTCGGGCAAACAATCATTGTTCTTGAATAGTGTGTAGCACCCAAAGGTATATGACATTTGTAAATGTAGGTTAATTTGGGTTGGGTAATGAAATTTTGCTGAGTGAGGGATATCTGATCGTTCGTTCGTACAAAGAATTTCAAGGAGTACATCATCTAAATGAGAAGGTCATTATTTAGCCAACTGATTGTCTCATCATTGAGCTCTCGAAGTCCAAAAGCACCGTGATGGGATTTGTAGATAGGACAAGCATCAAAGACATGATTCATAGTTTAGATCACTCCACAGGCACATGAACCTTGAGCGTCATAGGCTTCGGTAATGTAAATGTAATAAAGACTTTGGTAATAGCATACTTTGAGTACAGTAAGCAAAAACGAAAGAAGAACATTATTGAAACGAAGAGGAAAGAGAACAACAACGAAGAAGAAGCAAGAAAAGGGAGAAATAGAAAGGAAAAAAGGAGAATGCGGAGGAGGAGGAGGTAAAGAAGAAGAAGAAGAAGAAGAAGGAGAAGATAATGATACTCAGTTTGTATATAGCGCTTATTACAATCACGAAGCGCTTCCAAACTTGGACATTAGATTATTACCACTGCTTTAGCTGTGCTGCCATTACGCCGCTCTAGATCTAGCATTTCAAAGAATTAATTCCTGTCAGGTGATGATGATAAATAAGAAGAACGGGGGAGGAAGAGTAGAGGAAGAAGAAGATACAGTGAGAGAAATAACGAATTAAAATGTAGTTCCAGATGTTGTTCTATTTATTTCACACGATCTAGGATATAGTGCTATAATAAGAGTTGCTGAAAGCCGAAAGAGTGATCCCCAACATCCCCCAACACTTACGAATGTCATAAATCTCTAAATTGTGCAGTTTGCGAGAAGGAACATCTGATTTGTAGGTAACATCAGTATCCCTCAATAAGAGAGATATACTTCGGAGAGAATTGACAAATTGTGTGGAGGAAAAAGGGAAAACCTTTAGATAACATTTATTTGAAGTTTTACGATGTACAAAATGATTGATCATAATCTC